GAGCTTGTGTACCATGGGTCACACCCTCCTATGTGTGAACTATTTTCAGCCTCAGGAGAATTGGTTTCCAGGTAAAAGGAAAGTCGGTATCTGTCTTATATAGTGAAAGAGTGTCTACTGAGAATCAGTCCTTAGAGGAAGAGACACTCACCTTAATGCTGGGAATGTAATTGTGGACAGTTTTGACTTTGTTGCTGGGGCACCTGCTGGACTTTCAATACAGTGGGGTTTTTGTTCACTGTTCAACAGGACACCAATAGGTAGTGCTTCCGCTGCAGAGACGAGCTGTTGGGGACAGCCAGCTCAGACATGCAGGTTGCATCCTCACTAGAGGCTCCGTTTTCTGGGGATAGCATCAGCAGTGAGGTAGTCTGTCCTGTGTCCTCAGAGCTCCCCGGAGAAGCTGCCAGGCTGTGCTCTGGCCAGTTCTCTTTCTACATATCTATTCCAACTACCTTTCTTTCTGATCCAAATCTTATCTGACTCATTGTCCTTTAGATTTAGGACCTGACTGACACTGAATTTGTTATTTCAGTTGGGCCTGGATGAAAATGCTGGTAAAATCTGTACCAAAAATTTCAGGAACTTAAAAAGCATCTGGTCACCAAATGTAATGGTGACTAGATAATAACTCCAGCACTCAGGAGGCTGGGCAGGAGGGCTTCGAGTTTGAGATTAGCTTAGGCTGTGTAGCAAGCGCAACCAAATCCAAACTATGTTAGGCTCACCATTCACCCACAGGTCCTAAAACCACCACCTCCCCCTAGCCTGCTGAGCCACCACTTTGCTGGTGTGAACTTCTACAGTGGGTCTTTGTGGAACCGTGGGGTGCTTCTCTTTGCTGTTATTCCTAAAGAAAGTGATGTGTGAGTGTGTGCGCACATGTGTGCATGACATGGTCATATTCCCTAAGGAAATGGAGTATAAGGAAAATACTATGCAGATGTAAAACTAAATTCATTCCTTTACTTTTTAATTTTTTGTTTTATGTGTGTGTGGGTATTTTGCCTGCATGCATGTCTGTGCCCCATGTGTGTGTGCAGTGCCCCAGCAGCCAGAAGGGGGAGTTGGATCCCCTGGAACTAGAATTACTACTGACAGTTGGCAGGTGCCATGTGAATTCTAGGAATAGAGAGAGACCTGGTCCTCTGGTAGCCAGTACTCTTAATTGCTGGGTCATCTCTTTAGCCCCTACATATATATTTTAAATCCCTTTCTGTAAGTCCAGGCCTTCTCCCTTTCTCCGATGAACCTGCTCAACACCCACAGCTTCTATGGTCCATCATTGTCTGGCTTCCTTCACAGCCTCCACACTTCAGGAGGCCACTGGGCTGGCTGGGTACAGGCCTTGTGAGCCTGCTAGGGTAGATAAATGTGGAAGGGTTGTGCAGAGGGTGGGCCCCAGGTTGCATCCTGCTTCTGAGGCTTGCTGCTTCTGAGATTCTGAACACACTCTGTGGCCTTTCTGAGCAGTCAGGGGGTGGGGTGAAGCTTTCTTTTCATCAGGGAGAGAAGACAGAGAGCTCACTGTCTCTCTCCCCAATACGTGGGTTCTAAACTGCTGATCCACAGCATGTACAGCTAAATTTAAAAATAACAGAACCGTCATCAGACACACTGGACATTCTTATCAGAGCTTCCTATTTTCTGGAGTTTAAGAGGAAGCTAAAAAGGAAAGAGTTGAAGATTAGCAGGAATACACTCGCTTGCTGCTGTCTGTTCCCCTTCTGCCAGCCGTGAGGTGTGCCAGTTTGGCCAACATTGTTCATGTCTTTTGTCTCCTCCCACTTCAACATAGGCAGAGTCCTCAGCAAGAATATACATGAAGTTTCCCATTGAAAGAGTCCTCGGCAAGAATATACATAAAGTTTCCCATTGCCGATTGTACGATGGACTCGCTTTACACCTGGCTTACACACATTTTCTCTTTATCACAGATTAAATTTTGAATAGAGAGTTTCTCTCCAGTGAACAGGACAATGACAGTGATATGTCAGGGTGATATATATCCATAATATATAATGGATATATTATGTAGAGTCTGATTAGATTTCCCTGTTGCTCAATTCCATGGAACAATTTTTAAAGAATTAAACTCAAGCCATTCAAAATAACATGACTAATTATATTAAAGTTAATGTACTCTAATTGATTGATGGTTATTATCAGAACAGCAACCTGTTCGTAGTAGCAACCTGTTTGTAGTAGTGGTGGGAAGATGTGCAAGTTTAGGGTCCTATTTCATGTCATGTCCAGTTAGGTAGACAGTTTTTTTCTGGGCACCTCAAGTGAGCCATACTCCAAGCCACAAGTGAGATGAGGATTATGTAACAAATACATTTATTTTTTTAAATTTTGGGCTAGGAACTTTCTTTGGACAGAGTCTCACATAGACCTGGCTGGCCTCAACCTTGAACTGCTGATAACTCTTGCTAGTAATCTTGACAGTAAATGTGACTCAGCATCTGCCTCTCTACCTCAAAACTGAACAGTCTCAGCTTGGTGAGGGGGAGACAGAATGGGTACCACTTTTTTCCTACAGTAGCTGTTATCAGTTTCACTTACTGTTGGCCTGCTACTTCCTTGCACTTTTACTTTAAATGCTGTTTTTGTATGTATTCATTCACTAGGGGCCACCTGTGTGCAGATGTGTTCACTCAAGCTGGAGGGGGTGGAAACCGGAAGTGGACGTCCAGTGCCTTCCTCGATTGCTTCTCCGCTGTACTTTTTGAGACAGGGTCTCCCACTGAACCTTGCCATTTCTGGCAGACCAGATGGCCCATGAGCCCTTGGGATCTAGCTGTCTCTGCCCTGCCTCCCCCAGTGCTGGGATTACAGGTGTGTTTGGTCACACCTGGCTTTTATGTAGATGACAGGGATCTGCATTCACGTCTTCATACTTGCACAGCGACCTCCTTACCCATTTCCTTAGGTGCTGCTTTTTGTTGTTCTTGGTCAATGTTGAGTCTTCCTGGTGGAAGCCTGTGTTACAGCTTAGAGCGGGTTGAGGAGAGAGGCCTAGTCATCACCTCTGTGAGTGTCCAGATGCCTCTGTTTCTAGGCAGAAAGCAGATGTCCTCCACATAGAAGGCATTTGGGCAATATGGTAAATAGATGTCCTCCATGTAGAAGGCATTTGGGTAATATGGTGAATAGATACCCTCTACATATAAGGCAATTGGGTAATATGGTGAATAGATGCCCTCTCTATAGAAGGCATTTGGGCAATATGGTGAATAGATGCCCTCCACATAGAAGGCATTTGGGCAATATGGTGAATAGATGCCTTCCACATAGAAGGCATTTGGGCAATATTGTGATAGATGCCATCTTCACGGAAGGTATTTGGGCACTACAGTGAAGGAGAAGTCTTTTTCCATCAGAGAGTGGAGACACATCATCTCTCCCCAATACTTGGGCACTTTGTAAAGGGGGTTCTCTGTACTGGGAGTCCCCATCTTTATGACCAGTGTAAATAATTGGTGAACCATCCAGCTTTGTCCCTGACCTGCCTTCTCTATTACAGAACAAACTGAAAGGAGACTTCGTGTGTTATTTCCACTATAAACTATTGCCTTGTCATTGAAGACCAAAGGCTGAGCCAAAACAATTGAATTTTGCAGGACTGAGCCAAACTTTTGTCTTCAACTAGTTGGTACCAAGGTAGATGGAGAGAGTGTGACAGAGGACACATTCTGCTCTGCTCTGTTCATCTGTAAAACGAGGACTAGAAAGAGACTCTTTTTGGAGTTCTGAGGAGCAATTAGAATTGGTATGCTGTGTGGAAAGTTTGAGCGGCGGGAGATGCTGGAAACTGGGAGCTCTTATGAGTTGTGAATTTAAATACCAGGCATCTCAAATGGGAATTAAATTGTGTTTTTAAACTAAATGCAATTAGTTCATACTTTGTCATTAAATTCAAATTAATTTAATTCCTAGGAGCTTTAGTATTAGAAGATTGGGTCCTTTGTCATTTTTGATATAAATAGTTTTGTTTCTTCAAGATAGCCTCAAGCTAGAATATAACAAATATGTTTGCCTAATTGTAAATAGGTTCTGGGGTAAAAGCCTGCAATCCCAGCTCCTCAGGAGGTTGAGGCAGGAGGATCACTGAACCTGGGTGTCCAGGGCCAACTCAGGACAGCATAGTTGAACCTTTGTCTCAAAAATTTTTAATTCAGAGTAAATAAATAGGTTCAAAATAAATATGTAGGTCCTGAATTTATTCTTTTGGTGTCCAAATTTGCTATAGGGTTGAAAAATGGAATTCAACAGTTGCCACCGGGCCTTGTATTTCTAACTACAAGCTGGTTTTTCTGATGAAGTCATTATAAATAAATCTTAGATGATGGAAGTGACAATTTTACTTGGTATGTATTTGGTGAGCAACAGGATTAAAGTGTATTAACCGTGAGCTGCTTTTTTTTCTGATGACGGATGGCACCATTTGTTTTAAGTGTGACATTTGGACCATCTGGGTGGGAAGCAAAGTTTACTCAATTCATTTACAGGGGGACCCACGTGATGCAGACCTACTCACTTAAAACAGTGGTCTTTGTTTTTCTAAGAGAGATTTTCTTGACAGAGTCTCACTATGTGGCTCACACTGGCCTCTGTAAATCCTCCCGCCTCTGCTTTCCAAATACTGGGATACTGGGCTTATAAATCTGTGGCACCACACTATCTTGAAAAAGTAATTTTTAAATGGAAACAATTCTTTTTGCTGTGAGGCGGTTAGTTATGCACTGAATCTGGTATAACTTTGATTGTGTGCCAGAAGCTTTAAGATAGTGTGATTAGGGAGGAGAAGAACGGACACAGATTAGTTTCTTTCACTAGGATCCAAAAACGTTTGGTATTAAAGTTAAAACGGGGAAAGAGAAATCCAGTTGGAACTACTTGAAAAGGAAGAAAAGGAGGAAAAGGAAGGAGGGGAGAGAAGGGGAGGGGCATGGAGAGAAGGAAGGAAAGAGAGGAGCTTCAAAAAGAGTTCGAAACTTTGGCAAGAACAGGTTTTATTTGGAGACCATGTCACAGTACATAACTTCAGCTGGGTTCCCATGCGAATCCCCAAAGAAAGGAAAACAAGACAACTAGCTATACCACTTGGCCAGCAGGTGTCGCTATAAGCAGCTCTTCTATGAGCTGGACCTTTGGGCCAACAAGACTGTCTCCTTCAAGACAAGTTCAGGTTCTCCATTTAAAATATTTTCATAATACCTCTCTTCCTTTTTCATAGTAGCCTTTATTATGAGAAAGTTTATTATGAGAAAGACCATATAAAAGGGAGGAGGCCCTAAGAATGCTAAAATAAAGTTGTCATGGATTTCTGTTTGTTTCTGTGCATTGCTTATCACACAGGGTCACGTTTCCACAGTGATTATGGTATCTTATTGTCAGGCTACATTACACAGCCAGGGAGGAAGGAACTTGGTACCATCTCACAGTCTTTTCCCTGCTCTGGGAAGTGAGGAGTCTCCATGTCCAAATATCTCCCCGATGCTAAGCAACCTCTCAGACTCAGGGGGCACCCTGTGGCGGAGATAGTGGGCATTTTTGGCTTTTGCAAACAACTCTGGGAAGGTTGGCTTTGTGCAATTGCCTTTGAAGCTTCCTGCACATTCCACAGAGCTTGGGGGGTTTTGATCCCCAGTATCCCCAGGTGGCTTTAGACCGGCATTTTTTGATCTGGTCTCATCTGCAGATGCTGACCCTGTCTCGCCAGCTGGGCTGGATGTAGGACTGTCTTCTGTCTTGGTGGAAACCTCTTGGCCATGACATGGGACAGAGACTTCCTTATTGGGGTTCGTGCCCTTAAGTGGATTTGCAGACGCTCCCTCCTGGGCTTGTGAATTCTCTTCCTCACAGCAGCTGGTTCTGTCAAGTTGAGATTGCAGCTGCTCTTGGCTTCTCAGGGTGTCTTTGAGGGCAGGGCCAGGTAAAGAGGGGCTCTGAATCTTAATTTTAACTTCTTGGGTCATATTGGTTGACAGTACCCTGGCGGGGAGGGGAGATAAAAAGGAAGAAATAAATGTCTTTGTGAAAGGAAGGGGCCCCCATTTAGGCGTTTCCACTTATTAGACTCTCTCTCTCTCTCTCTCTCTCTCTCTCTCTCTCTCTCTCTCTCTCTCTCTCTCTCTGGTTTCAGTTGAGGTGGTAAAGTGGGTGAGAAGGGGTGAAGGGTGAGAGGCGGAAGTGTATCTCTCTAGGAAGGAGAAGGCAGCTTGTTTTAAAGAGATCGGTTGGGAGGTGGGATTCGGTGTCATACCCAAGCACTTACTCCTTATCTTACCGACTCTTAGGCTCCAGGACCAGGTGCCTCCGTCCTGTTTGTGGTGAGACTGTGACAACATCTCTTGGTCTCTTCTGAATTCCATTCTCCACATAAGAGGAGACTCTTTTCTTGATGATATCTGCTATGAGGTAATGAGCAAATGATGGCTGGAAGGATAGCTCATCCGTTAAGAGTGCTCTATGCTCAACTAAGGGACCGAGAGTTTGGACCCAAGCACCCACATCCATGGCTCGCAAACACCTTGAATTCCAGCTCCCAGGGATCTAACGCCCTCTTCTGGTCTCTGTCAGCACTTGCACACACATGTGCTCATATACTCACTCAGACATACACACAAACACTTGTGCACACAAATCAAATGAAGCTTAAAAAATGAGTTAATGTGGACTGCATTGTGTTAAGTTTCATTTATTGGGGTACTAGCCCTTAGTTCTTGAGATTGTGACATTATTTGGAGATAGGCTTTTTATAGATATGATCAAATTCAAATAAGACCATCATGGTGGGTCCCGACCATTGTGATGATGTCCTTATGACAGTAGCAGTTTGAGTAGACATGCAGAGAGGGCAGGGTAAAGGGACCTGTAGTCTACACACCAAAGAGAAAGCCTGCTCCTGCCTCATGCTCGAGGAAACCCTGCTCACACTCCCACTTCAACTTCCAGGTTGAGACAATGAAGGTCTAGGGTTTGAGCTGGCTGGGTTTTGTTACTTTGCTGTGCAGCCCTGGAAAATGAGTATAGTCGGAGAGGAAAGTGAAAGCTGGGATCTGGGCTTTCAGAGAGCTAGGATGTGGGTTCCTGTCACACACGGCGCTCCTCTGATGTGATGGATGAAAATAGCAAAGCGTCCTGCAGTTACTGCTGTTTACCTAGAACATGTTGGAGAGGATTTAGACACCCAGATCAGATGTTGCAACTGCCCCAGCCCTGGTGGGCTTTGTTAGAATGTTTTACTTGGCAAGCGCAAGTGTTTAAAAAAAGAAAACAACTGGGTGTGAACATTTTGTCTGTTTACTACAGTTGTGTGCCTTCCTTCTATCCATGGCAAGGGTTTGCAACTGCCAGAGGCCATGATTAAGTGTACTTTCCATTTTTCCAGTTGATGTTCCGGTCTCTTGTGGTCATAGCTTGAAGAGAACACACTGACCCTATTAGTTTTCAAGGCATTTAAGACTGAGTCATTCGGAATAGAAAATCTTGCATTGCTTTGTGCTTTGATGGGAATCACTTAAAGTTATAGTGGTTAAGGCTAGGGGTGCTGTTTAGTGGTAGAATATGCTTGCTCAACATGCACAAGGCCCAGGATTCAATCCCCAGCACTAGGACAGCTACTTCCCACCTCACTAAACCCAAACCAGAAATCCCAACCAAGAATAGCAAACAGACATACATCTAACCACCAGCAAACAAACCCAGGACACTCCCCTGCCACACGCACCCTGCTGAGGTTAGAATATATGAGGCGTTGGGAATAAGGGTACAGGACCGTACACGGGGTGTGAACATCACATGAAAGTCATCCGATCACTTCTTTGAGTCCTTTGCTTTCTTATTTTCTTGGAGCTATTTTGAGGCATTTTCCATTTTGTTTTTAAACCTATTTCCAATAAACTAGAGGATTTGAGCTGCTCCTCTAGGGGCCTCAGTCTTCTGCATTTGAGACAGCAGGGTGAACAGGTTCCGAAATGAGCCTTTTCTTTTTTCTTTCTTTTCTCTGTGGCATCATCTTCCCCCGTTTTCCTCACCACAGTGGTGTGGTGCCGTATCCACCTAGTTATCCGATTTAGCCTGTACATTTGACGGCCTGCCCTGAGCCTGGCAGTATGCTCTCCTTTCCTTTATGCTTGGACGTGGAATTAGTCATGGAACCCTGACGATGCTTTTTTCCACGTGTCTTGAAAAGCTGGTCTCCCCAATTTTATCTCCTTCCTGACAATGTTCTAGTTTAAGTTTTACATCAAGGTCTGCATTTGGAATTCTATCAGGCCTACTCTGGCTGCATCCTAAGCTCTGTTTTCTCATAAGCACTCTAGTCAGAGTCATCTCTCTAAAATGTGAATATGGAATCTCCCTGCACCCAGGCCCTGCAGGGTGGGATCTGCCCTTGTAAAGCTCTGGCTGGAGACAACACCTGGTTAGTGTGAGTTCTGTAACTGCATGTGAGCTGCAGCAGCATGGAACTCTTTCTGGCAAACCACACTCATTCCCATCCGTTTGCACACACTCTTCCTTTCTTCTGGCAACGATCTTCTACTACACATCTCTCCATAATCTCTCTCTTCCTACATCACTTCACTCTTCTCCTAGGTTCTGCTCACACACCGCCTCTTTTGGAGAAATATTCCTAAGAGTCTTTAACAGGGGCAGGAGGCTTCCAGCATCCCCTCCTTACTTTGTGAATAATTCCATTTTTAGCATTAAAAAATTTTGATGAGATTTCTAACAGCACGTTTAGGTTTTTTGTTTTTAAATCAGCCTTATAAAAGCTCAGCTTTCTGACAGTTACATTGTCATAAGCATTGAAAAGTGAAAAGGCCTTATTTGTTCAAATTTCTGAGTAGCCTGACCTATAGCCAAGGAGGTGGCACGGATTTGTAATCCCCGAGTTCAGGAGATCGGAGCAGGAAGATCCTGAGATTGAGGCCAACTTGGGCTATGTAGTGAGACTCTACCTCAAAACAAAACAAAACAAACAAAAAACCAAAGTGACAACAACAGCAGTAATCCCCCCAAACCAAAACAGCCAACCAGCCAGCCAAACCACCATCCCATCAAGCAAACAAAAGCACATGACCCGGAATAACCCATCTTGGCATTGGTGAAAAGAAAGCTGAATTTTGAGCCTAATTTCTACATATTGTTCCTACTCTCTAAGATGAGGGCCGACAACATGCGCAGGAAGCAACCCACCAATGGGCAAATGGTTGCATCTCAGTGATAACAGTTCCATCCAATAAATTATTGAAAACTGTTGCTGAAGACAGCTTCTGGAGAACACCAAGAGGACACACAATCTCTCCTCCTTTCTCTGACTCGACTGTTCAGTGTGAGAGGCAGAACCTGGAGACCTTGACCTCTGAAGCTGTCAGTGTCTAGGTCCTGACACTTTCCACACACCGGTGACTGAGACAGGCTCTCTCTATGCAGCAGGGGCGGCCGCAGTACGGGGCTTGCCTTTAATGCGACCCTCTGGAGCATGGACACCTGCTCTTAGCTGTCCTGTGAACTGGACTGAGAACCAACCAGCTGCTTTCTAAGACGCCTTTCCAGGTGTGTTCTTATTCCAAGTTGACTTAACCACTGACTGTAGACAGGGCACTTGAAAACAGAGTTCAGTTCAGACAGGGTCATCGTTCAAGTTTCAAGGAAACTATTTTATAATTAGAAATAATTGACAATTAGAAAGAATTGCCAGGCCAGTGTTTTGAGGCTGCTTTGGGTTCGTGTGTCAGCTGCTGAAACTGCAGCCCTGGAAGGGTTTGTGTTTAAGCGTACCATCTGGCTTCCCCCCCGAACGGGCCACATCCCATCACACAACACAACACACACTCCTGAGTTCTCGCTCCTCGCTTAAGTCAGGAGGAACGTCCTGGAAAGCCGAGTTTAACCGACTCCATATAATTTTGAAGGAACGTTGAAACTTAATTGTTTAACGAATAAAGGGAGGAGCGGCAGTTTCTACAAACCACACAGCGGAACCGGTTTCCAACAAGACAGCAGGAGAGGGTTCATTCTGAAATGACTTTGCACTGCCGATCTGAGTAATTCAAGTTGTCAAATCCCAAGCAAATGCCTGTGCCAAATTCTCACTGAAAGCTCAGATAATTTCACACAATGGGCATCGTCACCCCTATTCCTCATCAGAGGGAACTGAGGTAAAAATCCCAGAGAAAGGTTTTCTGGCTTTTGTTTTAACTTTCCTTTCATAAAAGGGTAAGGGGAAGTGGCTTATACCTTAGCAGTTCAATAAATGGCCGCTCAATCCCGAAGAGAAAGGCAGCCAGGATAAAAGAGTAAAACCAAATCAGCTCTGATAGAGGGAAGAGACCATCGTGGCGTGAAGAATCCGGTGGGGTTGGGGAAGGTAGGGGGAGCAAGTTGGAAACATGATACAGGACAATGAGGGAAGCCTGGGGGATGTCAGCGCAAGAAGATTGGAGGCCAGGCACCAGGAGGAGCTATGAAGTTTGGGGACAAGGTAGAGAGGACCAGAGGGTTAGACCTGCTTAAATCCAGAGGGACATGGAGGCATTTATTCTGCTGGTCATCCAGGACTCCGAAGGACCCTGGCACGAGGCAAGCACTTCACTTCCCACAGTGAGGTGGAGTCTGCTATGCCCCCCATCCTGCCCTCCTCTAGGGTAGACTGCTCCTTACTACCAGAAGCTGGGGCAGAGTGTCCTTAGGACCGGAAGCAGGGTGGGTGTGGGTGTGGGTGTGGGTGGGCAGATTACCCCTTAGGGAGGAGCCTCACCCTGCTGCAGCCGCTGCAGTTCTTTCTGAAGCTGTCTCTGCTCCCTGGCCAGCGATTTCACGTGATAGAGGCAGATGACCTCCAGCCTTTGCAGTCTGAGGCTGAGTCTAGCTTCGGCTTGCCTGGCATTCTTTCGCTCCAAGTCGAACTGCTTATACAACGGTCCCCTCACCATGTTCCGGTCTGTCCTCTTCATGGCTTGGAGACAGTGAAGCAAGAGTCTTCCGGGTACCACAACCCACCTAAAAGAGCAAGGCCAAGATGCTGGCCTCTGGTGATTGGTCACCGATTAGTTTGAAAATGAATTTTAGTCAACTCCAAACTGCCTAGTCAGATGAAGTCACAGCATCCAAACCCACACTTCTATCTCCTCTACTCCGGTAACACGCCTGGGAAGGGACACACCTTTTCTCTCCTTTGGGTCTCTCCCAGTACTTCCCTCGGGGCTACAGCACAGAATGTGTGCAGGGTAGCAGTCAATTGCTCCTGTCGAGGCTTCGGTGGTAATAATTCAGGAAAAGATTAGCAATAGAGAAGGGGATACGGTCAGGCACAAGGCAGCTCAACTTAAGAGACTATTTTTAAGTCAGCTTGAGTAAAGTATAGACTAAAGCATCACCGAGAACAAGGTAGGTAGGTAGCACTTACCTGCAGACCCAGGTTCTCACCGTGAAAATCTCCGTTTCTTGGCCTGCGCTAGGCTAAGTCTGCATTACTGAACTTGATTCTTCATTAAAGAATGATTAAGCATGAGTCCGTGCAAAGAGGAGGCGGGACCTTGGGAGAGGGCTGCTGGCAGAATGCTGGCTACTCCCGAGAGAGCTCTCTGCTCTCTTCCTGTCTCCCTGGGTCAGGAATGCTGCCTCCTCGAGCCATGGGTACCAGTCCCTCTTGAAAAGGCCACATCTCTAACATGTTTTGAGAATGAAGGAAGCTTGCCAACTCCCAGCCCTCCCCAGAGAGGCCTGAAGTGCTCCTCATGGTGTCCATGGGAGCCAAGAATGAAAGCAAAGAGTTACCATTCTCTTCTGGTCCACCTCTCCCCTCCTCTCCTCTACCTCCCCCTCCACCCCCCAGCCATTCTTCCCACATCCCACCCTCTTTCCTGCTTCTTGGAAACCAAAAGAAAACACCCTGCCTTCCCAGTCATGACTGTAGACATTTTGCACAGAAAGGGCATTTAATTTGCTCATTCTATATTATTGCACTCTGTGCCGAGTATTTCCAGGCTTCTAGTCTTGTTTAGTGCATTTCAAAGTTTATTTAGATTTTCAAAGTATTAGATATAGCATTAGGTGAAGTGACAGATTTTTAAATCAACTTTTGTCCTTGTGTTTGGATAGTTGCAGCAAAGAGCAGAGTTGAACTATTTATTATAGACGAAGCTACTGGGTGGGACTACTATTATTTCCTTGGGGACCCATCTGAAAATATGAGGCAGTAATATTCCACAGTCTAAAGACAGCTGCCAACACTGGGGCCCACTAATCCCCTCAGAGTTTATGAAAGGCAGCCAAGCAGCCCCTATTACCACACTCTCCACCGGCAAACAAACTATTATAAAGAGATTACCCAGGAGGTGAGAGGAGAGGGCGGGGTTCACTCTCTAAGCGGGGAAGGATGCCTACTCAGAGCTTTCCCATGCCGTAAGTTCTTCATCTCCAGGATTTAACCAAATAGGGAGGAGGCTCCCAGATAATTACTACAGAAAGCAGGGTGCCACATAAGGGGAGACTGGCCCTCCATTTCCCCATCGGGAAAACTGGTGAAGTGCATAACAGCCATCACACCATACTTTTGTTATGCTCCTCCCCCCCAAGCTGATGACACTGTGGCATCTCATATAATTTGTGTGTCATCTTGAGAAAGTGCAGATGGGGAGAAGCTTGCAGAACTAACCGCATGAAGGGCCCGTAGTGTGCTATGTGTGCACCATGGTCCCCTGGTCCCCATGAGAGTGCCTTGGAGGTACTGATTCCCTATGAGGGAGCAGAAATCATGCTGTAGCCATGGCATCGCTGTCCATGGGAGGAGAAATACTTCCACAGAGAAGAGATGGAAACCTGAGCAGGGCCTGAGGGGATCCGGGTGAAGATGAACTTCCCCCAGAAAGCCACACATCTTAAAGCAGAGGTGACCAGGAGCACACAGAACTGAACAGAGGCAGAGAAAGAGTAAAGCCTCGCGTGCCTCGCGTACCAAATGCAGTAGCAGTGCCAGAAACCAGCCCCACTGTCTAGGATCAGAAAGACAAGGGAATGGAGGCATAAAACACACACACACACACACACACACACACACAATGTTTCCCACTCTATGACAATGGGAGGAGGAGGAGGAAGAGGAGGAGGAGGAAAAGGACAAGCCATCATTTCTCTTCTTCCTTCTTCCTCTTCCTCCACACCCATGGAGTGCAGGGAGGAAAGGTCTGACCTGCATGGAAGATCGAAGCCTTAAAGTGAGCTGAAGCTTTTCATACACAGCGTGGCCAGAAACACAGAGCCTCTGTCCAGTATCATCAAGGCGAAGAAAGAACAAAGAATCCAGGAAGATGGTGGCTGCAGACATGAAATTATCATTCCGGGATGGCGCCCTGGCTACCACCCACAGGGAAAGAACTAGTGAGAAAAGTGGTTACAAAACATGGGGAACTATGTCATGTTGAGAATTTTTGGCTGTCTGCTCTGTTCACGGTAATCTATAGACCCAATTACCATCAAGATCTTAGCAGGTATTTTTTTTCCTGGTAGGTAATGAAAACTAACTGTACAATCCAAATGGTAATGCAAAGGACTTATGATGGCCACAATAATTTTAAAATGGGAGAATAAAGAAGACCAACATTGTGTGATTTCCAGAGCTCCTCTGAAGCTACAGCAAGATCATACTGAGCCAGCATAACGATAAACAAGACCACAAAACAGAAGAGAGATTCCAGAAAAGACTGCCACATCTAGTCACTCTGCTTTTGACAGAAACATCAACACACTTGAATGAAGGGAAGGCTCACATTGAATTCCCACAGAGTGTGCTGGAGGAATTGATATCCACACTGAGGAATTCAACCTCAATCCTTGTGCTAGGCCTGATGAAAAAGTTAAGAAGAGGGATTTTATGTTTTAATTTAAAGGCTAAAATTACAAAATTTCTACAAGGAAAAAAACACCAAAATGTTTTTGTAAACATAGGTTAGGCAAAGAATTGGAAGTAGACAAAAACAGGCAAGAGAAAAAAGTTAGCAAACTATATCAAGTGATATTAAACCTCCTTTTCTTCAAAGCACACTGCCAGAGAAGAGAAAAGGTATGCTAGAGCTCTGGAGAATGCTCTGACAGCCTATTTATCTTACAAAGAGCCTGTATGCACAGTCCCAAACAGCACATGACGGCACCAACACCCCTGTTCAAAAATAGACAAAGGACAAGGACAGACAATCTAAAGGAGGATGCAAAGGGAAATGTGAAAACGAGTGTATATGCTCCATGTAATTAGTTGTTGGGAATTCCATATAAAACCTGTGATGACATACCCCATCTCATCTGCTGGCCTAACCTAAACTGAACAAAGGTGCTGGGGAGAATAATGGGTCAATTGGAACTTTCATGGATTGATTATTTGAGTATAAATTATGTAATCACTTGGAAACCAGTGTGGCAGTTTCTTGTAAAATTTAACACATAGACAAGACTTAGGAGTTCCATTTCTAGAGATTTAACAAAGAGAAAGGTTAAGTGCGCCAAAGACTCGCATAGGCGTGTTCAAGGCAGCTTCTTCATAGCAGTCTTCAACTGGGAACGAGCTGAATGGCCAGTGAGTCAGTGAATGGAGACGCAAACTGTGATTCATTCACATAGCAGGATACTGCTTAGTAATGAAGAAAATGGGACACAGGAATTCCATGAATGGATCCCCACCCAAAGATACCATGCTGATGAAAGGGGGCAGATGCAAAGGGGAAAACTGGCTTCAAATATTTGAAATATTACAGGAGGCACAATTAATCCATGGCACAGAAATCAGCTCAGTGGCTTCCTATATGGAGCGGTGAAATATTTGAAATAACATAACAGGCACAATTAAATCCACAGCACAGATATCATCAGCTCAGTGGCTTCCTGGATGGAGAGGTGTAGATAAAGACTGACTGTGAAAAGGGAAGAGGGAGATTCTGGGGAAAGAGAGGTAGTGATTATGTGTTGCACACATTTGTCCAAGCCAACAATCTATATGCCTAAACCCTGGCATATTAATGTATATCAATTATATAAACTAAACTCTGGATTTTAATGTATATAAATTACATCTTAGTGAAGTTGATTATTAAAAAAAAAAAAAAAAACTTAAAAAAGATTCAGGGAGCTTCAGTTTGCACAGGAAGGGTTGCTGCTTCCGGTAAGTTGAGGGCCAACCAAGTGTTTTCGGACATCACGAAATAGGTGATGCCTGTGAAATAAGAAATAACACAAGGAAAGCAAGCAAAACAGAGCCCAGCTGGCTCTGAGCTGGAGAGAATGGAGGCCGAGCAGGCTGTGGTGGTGGCTAGGATTGAGAGAACAGAAAAAATGAATGTACATAGTCACAGACATATGCACATGGGTAGTAGGGAGGGAGGGAGAGAGAGAGGGGGAGAGAGAGAGGGGGAGAGAGAGAGAGAGAGAGAGAGAGAGAGAGAGAGAGAGAGAGAGAGAGAGAAAGGGACGGATGGATGGATGGAGGGAGGGGGGGGAGAGAAAGCGCACATTCAAGCTGCATATCTGTACAGCCTTTGGTTGATCCTGCCCCATTGATGCAAAAGTGAAATGTCTAAATGCTTGCACATGAGTAATGAAAAAAAAATCCAAAACAAAACGTGGTGCATTATACATTAAAATTACCGAAAGAAATAGAACTACTGATATTTGCAACAATGTAGGCTAATCCCCAAAGCATTATGCTAAGACAAAGATGCCCTTTCAAAAGACCCCATGCTTTGTGATGTGAAACGTGCAAGTACCAGCAAATGTAAGCTTAAAGTGGTTAAAACAGATGAATGGCTGTTTGGGGGTGAGATGGGGCATGTGGGCTCACTTTAAAGAGCAAGAGTTTGTGGAGAGGGACACAGGAAACGTTCTGTGTTTGCTTATGGTCGTGTTTATATGGATGCATTTATTTATCAACCTCTTTAAAATGGGCAAATTCTACTGGATGTAGACTATACTTCAATAAAACTGAGTTTTAAAATATACCTGGGGGTGATGGTGGATGGGCAGTGAGAGAGCCCAGCAGGTCAAAGGTGCCTGTCAAGTCTGAAGACATGGGCTCAATCCCTGGGACTCACATGGTGGAAGGTGAGAGCCAGCTCCTGCAAGTTGTCCTCTGGACCTCCACACACAGACTGTGGGCTCCGCGCTCTTACACACACACAAACACTAACAAATAAATAAAAAATTTAAAAACCAAAAAATATAATTGCAAGAGATATAGCTTAATGGTAGTGTGCCTCCCTAATGTATGGGAGACCCTTGGTTCAATCCCCAGTATCCAAGAGACTCGGGGATCATTATGAAAGCCGTCACAGGCTGGCTACTTTTAGACCATTTAGACAACAGTTAACTTCCCATAAAATAAATAAATGGAGAGGATCTAGTATCCTCTGTGTTTTCTCTCATGAATTGTATTTTTAAATTAAAGCGTGGGTGAGGGGAAGATTTTTGCACCTGTAGCTCACAGATGCAGAAGAAATTCCCTAAGTGGGAAGCCTTCTGGAGGTAACAGATCTAGGCAACAGTTCATGCCCAAACCTTAGGGGAAAGGATTCATAGCGAGGGACCAGCTGACAGCCCTCGAATCCTCCGACTAACTGTAGTGTCTCTAAGGGAGGGGTTGAGACATGTCCTTGAACAAGCATCTTTAACCTGGATTTATTCTAACCTTGGGTTCTGACTGCCATGCAGAGACTTAACGAAGAAGTTAATAAACAATGAGAGAAAGCCTAGGAGAATACACAGGTCATTCAA